AGTAAAAGCATCAATGGAAGAAACAAATAAATAACCACAATTTTCACGTAGAATCTGGGTTCTATATCAGTTACAGCTATTCTGTTGAATAAATGTGTTGACAGATAAAGTGACTGAAATTACCATGTTTTAGAGAAAAAGCTTAAACCCTTTTTTGACAGGACAGCTCCATAACTGCATAGGAAAGGAGGTTCAGTCACATGAGTTGTGAGGTAGTCTGAGGTTTAGGTGAGGAGCTGCAGTAAGAAAACCCCCGGGAAGAACTGCAGAAACAAGTAAAGCAGAGAAAACTGTAATAGCTAGGTAAACACTCCTTCACCCCCACCACCCTCTACCCTGGCTGAAGTGTCGTCTGCTGATGGACATATTATTCCAATCCCATTTTTTCCAACACCTGCCCCCATTTGTCTTGCATGCAGGTCACCTTCTCCACTGCTTGCTCCTTTGTTCTTTTCCCCTTCTTTCAGTTGACCATCCACACCTGCAAGTTGGTCTTTCTCCTACTGTATTTCATTGCTGTTTCTCCTTCTCCATCTCTTCCTATCTTTTGTATGCATTTCATCAGACCTTGGGTTGGGGCTTAGGACTCATTTCTGTGCTGCATTTTGTACATTGGACCATAGGTCCTTAATTTTGGTCAATTTTCCTCATAGCATTATAGATTTAATTTAATATTAATAAATTTGCATTGCAAAAACTTGAGTCAGAATTGATGTGCTGTGTTTGTTTTTATTTCTTGTTAAAATTAAGTTGAAAAATGCATATACCTGAAGCTATTGAACTATTAGTTATGTAAATACCAGTTAGCTTTCAGCACTTTTTGCTGAGAGTGACTCAGTCATATGAGAGACTAGACTTAATGTCTGTTAGATAAGCAGGGCTCAAGAATCACAGCTTTGTTTATAAAAGCAGATGCTGTAGAGAGCCATTTTTAGACCTAATTGATGATGATGTATTGATTCAGGACTCTTCTTCCCATGTCATTCTCTATACAGATCTAAGGAGTTTTAGCTGACTCATTTGAACTCATTTTTCCTTTACAGTCCAGTAAAATCCCCAGAACTTCCACATTTCTTGTGAGGAGGGGTCGGGCTAGGGGAATAAAGACATTTAACTCAGCTTCCTTTCTTTTTCAGACCCTTGCTATAAATATAGCTTATAAGCTAATACTTCTCTTTTTGCAGCTGATCTGTGCTCTTGCTGTCTAAACATCTGACTTGGCTTTATTGTACAGTAAATGGCATCTCACCAAGAGACTTTAGATAACAGATACTCCAGAGGCTCTGCAGAAGCCTGGGTTTCTTGTTCCCACACTTAAAATAGAGGCTTGTGATTCCTAAACATTATATCCTGTAGTATCCAGATTATAGATGTTGAAAACAAATCCACTTGAAAATTTAGGCTGGGGTATTTTTTTCTATTTTTTTGTGATTCAGTTGGATTTATTGCTGGGGTTCACTCAGTGTCACATAGAATTCCAGATTCCAGTGAGTGAATGCTGCTATCATCCTGCTTCTTACCATAATCTTTAATAGATTAATAGACTAATAGATTAATAGATTGTCTAATTAATAGACAATCCAAAATCAATGCCTTTGTCCTTGCTGTAGGTAAGTTCTGCTGGATAGGTAGAAATTCTAGAGGTTAATTTTTAACCTTAGTTTCTTCCTCATACTTTTGACCTAGGTTTCCTGCACTAGTTCCTATTTTCATGAGGAAAAGACCATAACAAGAAATATCCTAGTTTATTTTTCTCCTTGGATTAATTTATGTTCTGCTTCTCCTATTTCTGTATTGTATAGTGGTGTTGCTAAATTAATTGTTTCCTATGAGAACTCTTTTATATCTTTGTATGCACTACTGGGTCTTTGTTACCTCTTACCAAGATCTCCCTTAATTTGACAGCACTTGTATACAACTTGATTAAAACACATTTTGTTGGTGAATATTTAATGGGGATTAAAGGTCTAAATGTAGCTAATCCTATATCCATTCAAAAAATTCAACTGAAAAATATTCCTTAGTCTAGGATTAGTTGCTGGCATTTCTGGACAGGGAATCTGGTTAGTATCTCACTGCTTGAAGTTTGCTAGTATTTTGCTGGTATATAATATTTTGTATTCAAACAGCAAGCATGTTCATCTTTAGGGCAAAAAAGGAACAGTTTATGTTATAACTACTTTTGTGTTTAATTATTACCGAAATAGTAAAGAAAATTTTTAAGGTGAGGTGCCTGGATGGCAGGGGTTGGATTCCCCCTCTTGCATGTTTTTAGACAATGTGTCTTTTCTCTTAAAAATTATGTCATTCCGCAGAACATATATAGTATTAAATATCCCCTAGTTGTCTTGGCTAACACAGATTGAAAACTTCCCTGTAGGATCCAGCTGTCCACACTTTGGGAAGGAGACCGCTTTAATACACAAATAATCTTGGAAACACTAAATTATTGCACAGCATAATTTGCATTTTGTGTAAGGACCTTGCATATGAAAAACGTGGGGAAAAACTCATTAATGACAGACTGTGTTCAGTCTCTACTGAATACTTCAAGGCTGCAGTTTCTGTATAGTATTTGTATTTATGCTAAGCACAAAATCTAAATTAATAGATCCCAGGTGTATTAAATAGACATAATATTTGTTGTTAAGGAAGGCATTTAAAAGTCTATATGCATGTAGATATGTTGTTTAGCATGGCTTTGAGAAGATTGATAGCTAGCTAGAGTGTAGAATGATGTTAGTAGTATTAGCACTTTCTAGCATTAAATTTAGGTGCGAAATTCAAACTCCATTTATTTGGTAAATTCCCAATCCAATCTGAATAGTAACCGAGAGTGATCTCAGACCTCTCTCTAACTTGCTGCTTCTGTGTAATAACAGCTGTGAAATACTGAGGAGAGAACTTCTGTTCTCTATGTCTGCTCGAAGTAAATTTGAAGGAGTAGCCTGATGTAATGCTTCCACAAGTGTCAACACAGTTTTATTTCTGCTCATGAAAATTCAATGGATTGTGTCACATAGTTGTATGCACAATCTGACAGCTCTTTACCTTACAGTGCATGCTCGTGAACCAGTTCTAGTAAAGGGCTCAACTGCTGCTAATGCAAAAAAGGGATCAAAAGCAGTTTTATAGGGTGAACCAATTGTTCTGTTGGGGATATTTTGTGATATGCAAAAGAATCTGAAGGCATCTGTCATAAGTAAGTTAGCGTTGCACACTTTTAATCCAATTCTGTTAGTATTTTGACTTATCTACCATGCAGGTTAAAATGTATAAACCCCTTTATTTAAAATGTCTACATATGCAAATTTTGTGTTTAAAAATCAAAACATAAAAATGCTTTGCTTCCAGCATATTTTTTTCTAAAACAGACCTAAAGTAATAGTTTAGTCCTGAGCAAAGTGGTTTTATATTCTAATTTTATATATGAAAAATGAACTGATCGCTTGTGCCAGTTTGTTTGTGACAGGCTTTACTGAAGAATATAAACTGTACAGTTTTAAGTACTAGATTGTACTGACAGGACGGAGCTGTCCTTTTACAAATATTTGTATGTACTCTTTGTAGACTGCTTTAATATCTTGTTTAAAAATTCAGCTGTTTGCTATTCCAAACTCACTTTCTGGCTGGACTCATGAGACATTTGCTGTGTACAGTGGTAAAAAGTGGATTCTATACATGTATATTAGATGCTCTTCATGAGTGAAAACTATTTACTCCCATGAAAAAGCAAATTTGGCTCCAGTCTGTAAAGTTTGGTTTAAAGAATTTGGGTATTTCAGTGTCCATTTTCCAGTGTTTTGTTCCATAATTTTTAATATTGACTACAGGAGTTTGCTAAAATTAAGGATGCAATTGGTTGACACTGACAGAGACCACATGATGCAGTCTGAAAGCTTTTCTTCAATCAAGCTGTTTGCTGACTGGGCAATATGGGGAAACTATATCCTGGCTGTCAAATGCTTCTTTGTAGTGTGATATACTAAACATTTCTGTTTGTACTTGCAGGCCTCTGGCTGTGATGGCACTGAGATTCCTGATGAAGTGAAACTGATTGGTTTTGCTCAGTTAAGTGTCAGCTGATGTCTGTCCCTTGACCCCAAGCCGAATTGTGAGATTGCGAAAAAGCCAGCTTAGATGCAAAGGAAAATTAATGCACCACACACTGAGTTCTGCTTCATTATCTAGCAATTCACAAAGTCAGAACAAGCAAAGCCCACAGCTACACCGCTGCTCTTAACGTTCAAAATGCTCCTAAATGTCTCTTAGCAGTTGATTTGGATTCCCCCTAAGTGAAAAGCCTGTGGAAATGCTCTCAGGTGGCTGTATTTATTGGTTACAAAAGGAACTTTCTATCAAGCTTACTTCTTTCATAGACTTTGAGTGATACTATTTTACCTGTACTTGTGGTTGATAATACTGCCTCTGTTCTGTTACATTTAGAAATTAACATACATATAAAAGTTTAGAAATATTAGCCAACTTGAATTCTAGATTTAAAAATGACTGTGAATTTTATTTTTCATATATTTATGCATTACATATTACTAGTAATAAGAAAATGATTTGACTTGATTATGTGCTATTTGCAGTTAATCTCCCACTATTTAAAAAAGTTTCAGGTATGTCTTTGCAGTATTTGGTAACTTCTAGGGTTCTTCTGGAATAATTTGATTCGGCATTAGCAAGTTTTTGTTGGTTGTGTGTCAAAAAAACAGTCCACAAACTGATCATCAAGGGTGTAGGAGGTGCCTTGCGGATATTAATGTATTACGAATGTGCCTGAGGCTGCTTATAATCTCCATTTTCTAGAAGTACCATACATATGGTACAATATATAAAAATATATATAGTTATATGAGCAAAGAGGGTATATACAGTAGCAAAGGTGTTAAATGTATTTTGACTATGCTTTATTGGGGAGTCTACGAGCTAGAGCTACTGTGAACTGTTGTTAAGGTAGAACGCTTACTGTGTCCATCTCTGATCTGACTTACCCTTAATGATAGAAACCGGTTTCATACAGGTGAATAAAAACTTGAAGAATGGAACTGAAGCTTTATTTGAAGTTCTGCAAAATACCAAGGTGGAGTGAAAATAATAGGGCTTTGTGCAATGATAAAGTAAAACTCTGTTACAAAGACAACACTTCGACCCAAGTAGTCCTCTGCTTAACCTGTGACATAGATGTTATGGAGCTAGGGAACCTTAGAAAGACTTCTGCATTTGGAGATGTGGTTCTCAGAGGTTACACTTTAAAGTACTTCCTAGTTACTCCTAGATAAGTGGCAGCTCTTTAATGTACTGAAAACGGCAAATATATATTGTTAAGAGAAGTTATTTATAATGTCATAATCGTTGAGGTGTTCTAGAACTATTTGCATACGACTCAATGTAATCCCATCCCATCCTACTGTTTACATGATGATTATTCCAAGATGACTGCAAAGGTTAAAAAAATAAAATTAAAATAAAGATGTATTGCACAGATTGATTTGTCTTTTGAATTTCCATACTCTGCGTGGATTACAGAGTGATTATCAGAAAAGGCCGCTGCCCTTACTTGGTTTTGGGAGGAGGAGAAGAAATGCTGCTTACGCTCTCGGGGTAGAGGGTTGCTTTCGCTCCTTGCTCTCCAGCGCTTTGCAGAAGCCATTTTTAAGGCTCCCAAGAGGTTATTTCAAGAAATCAATGGTTTTCCCGGGGCAGTCCCCGTGTGCTGCTGGCCTGTGTGGGCGGAGAGGGGCAGGGCCCGGGCTGGGGTCGGCGGCCCAGGTGAGGCGCGTTGGGGCCGGCCAGGCCCCCTGGGGCGGGTGGTGCCCGCGGAGCTCTTGGTGGGCGAGACCCGGGCCTGGGCCGGCCAACAGCCGGGTAAGTGAGACTTTCTACAGGGGCCTGGGCCGGTGAGCAGCCGGGTAAGTGAGCTTTTCGACAGGGACCTGTGTCTGGCGAACACAGGTAAGCGAGCCTTTCTGCAGGGGCCTAGGCCCGGTGTCTCTGGCCCCGGCGGGGCTGCGGGCCCTGGGCAGCCTCGGCTGTGCTGTCAGAACGCAGCGCGTCCGTCTGCGGCGCAGGCTGCGAGCCGGCAGCTGGGGATTCACCTTTGTGCCAGAGTGTGAGCAAATAAAACATTTACCTGAAATGTGCACGTACCAGTGCCCCAGGTGATGCCCTGCAGCACTGCGATGGGATTATTTTTATGTATTTTAATTTACTTTTCTCTAAGCATTGCGCCGTTATTGACCGATCCCCCTGCAAAGTAGTTAGAGCTTCTACAGTACTTTCTCAGACGAAGTGAATGTTGAGGGAAGCTTTTTGTTTTTGCCATTCTAGAAAAAGAAGTGGAATATGTATAGAACATATATTTGGATGAAAATCATGTTCTACTTGCTATGCACCTCCCCAGAAGCTGGGAGAAAGTGTTGGGATATGAGTAGCAACTGTCAAAAGTGCTCATCTGCTGTGCTGGTTGGGGCTGCAGGAGGTATCTAAATAAAGAATGTAATGCTTTAATTGAGACAGTCAGCAGTATTGCACCAAGATAAAGTCGTAACAGTTGTTGCTCACTTGTGGTCTGATGCAGAAACATGGTGATGTTTCTGTGGTTCAGTGAGGCAGCAAATTCGTGTGGCACTGTTAACACAAGTCGTGTTGGGTTTTAAAAGTTCTTTTCTTGTTTTTACTGCCAAGATACTGTGTATAAATACAAAGTGAACAAAATGCATTTTTAAAAGGTAGAAAGAAAGGGTAATTAAAGCTTTAGTGTGTTAAAATGACATTTATAAATAGTTTATACTCTTAGGATATAAGGGTAAAAAAAGGTGAAAATGTACAGTACGCTGCAGTAGAAAGCAGTGAGCAAGCTACGAGTAGACATACATGCAAACGTAATAGTGATTTGTTTCTTTATTATCATATACACATCCTTTGCTGAATAATAAGGGAGAAGAGAAAACTAGGAGCTATTAATTGGTTCACATTTACATGAAAAGCATTTAGAAGCTGGGTGAAATTCTTATATGTGTGACATGACTTGCCCCCCAAAATAGTGGTGGTGCTGGTGTTACTGATTACAGCACCTGTCTTGTTTGAAAGAAAAGGTCTCTAATTAATGAGGTGAAGCAGGAACAGGGGAGCTACCATGTAGCTGTCTCTAAGGCCAGGAAAATAAGGCTTAATTAGATGGTGCTAAAAATATAATCATCTGTATGATGATTACATGCCAGTGCCTGCAGCTGGGCACTCGCAGGCTCTGTAGGCTGATTAATGTCAGTGTCCATGGAGCCAGCCATGCCAGTGTGCTGTGCTTTAGCTTACTGAAAGTAGCTCTGTGGACTGAGATGAAAGTCAGTGAAAACACAGTTCTGCATTTTTTAATTTCAAAGTGTTAGGATGAATATAAACATAGAATTTTGCTTAGCACAGAACCAGGTCTGGAGACTAACTGCATGTGTAAAGGAGTGGGAGAGAAGGGACGTTTCCAGCCTTTTATCTCGTGGGACTCCAGTGTGGGCTTTAGGCCAGGAAAGCTGTTTCCCATCCTGGCAACATATGCTTTTTGTGCCAAGAGAACAGGAGCACATCTCTTCCTTTTGACAAGCGCTGACCTCAGATCTTCCCACCAACATGTACAGAGTTGTGCATTCAAACTGCAATTCAGCTAGCTAGTTGTGATAAGTATTCTTGTTTTCTAGCATATTATCCTATGTACTATCACAGTTTCTTCTATTGCCCTAAACACCATTTGCGAATGGGAGTGGAAGGAGGAGCAGGGAAATAAATCAGGAAACATAATTGAATTTTCTCTTGCTCACATTCTCTCCTGAGATAAAGATGTGTGCCTTTTCACATAGCTTGGTCCAATGTCACATCTCCAATTCTGGGGCTTCCAGAGCAGTCCTATGAAATTTGATTGCGAGGCATCTCTTCAGAATGTTTTTAAACACTGCTATTTCTTTGAGAGGGAATGCTGTGTGCAGCTTGTAAATGGTGTGCCTCCCCTTCATGCTTTTCTTTAATCAGAGATCTGTTTTCCTTTTCACCACCTACCTCTGGGTAATGATGTTGAATGGTGAGATTGGCCTGTGCCTGAAATCAATTAGCTCTGATGAGGGATCTGACACAGACCTAAAACACTGCTAATTGAGTGCATTGAAAATGCTGATTTCTGTTTAGCAGGGAGCAGAGGATGTTGCTGCCCAGTCCCACCTTTCCCTCACAGATTTTATCAAAGCAGCAAGAAAAACCAAAAGAGAGACCTTGTTGATAACAAATAGCAGTTGGTCTATTTTTTCTCTGAATCAATTGTGATAGAACTTTATTCAGTCAATTGTTGTGGGTTTTTCTGCTGCATCACGTGGGCAGCCTTCCCACCCTCTTGCAATGTACTCATGCATGTGCATGCACAAATAATGCTAATTACTTTAAAATGAGAAGTTGGAAAAGCATCAGGAACCTACATCTTTGAGTATGTGCATGAACTGCTAATGAACAGCTAGGTTTACTCCAACCACAAAAACTCTTAACAAAGTCTGGTTTTCTTGCGTTTTATTGCACAGTGGCCCAGCTGATGAAATAATCCAGGCATATTAGTTGAGCATTGTGACATTTTAGTTATTCATTTTCCCTCAATGACTAAGAGTAACATTGCAATGCACATAAAAATGTGGTTTTATAGCTGCTTTATGATTGTTAGATTGATGCTCATCAAGCTGCTTTCATAGTTGTGTTCATCTGAGATGTTGAATCAAACTCAGTAGTTGTGAAGTTGTCTGCTGCTTATAACATTGAGAATATGGGCAATGGTGGCTCAGTGAGCAATTATAGAGACATGGAAAAGTATGTGGTAAGAAGGAGAAATGTAATTTTCCCTGCATAAACCAATAGGGAGGTAATCTTGTCCTTTTTGAGATATGCATATTTTGCCATCTAATTTTCAGGCGTGAATTTGAAAGGCTGTGCTTGTTTATTGTCTCAGTAGGGTGTAGAAAATCACTTATGCAAGTGGATATGCAGCTATACAAAATAGAATTGGAGTAGATGGAAAGTACATGCCTTTACTAATTTTTTTTCCCTACGGGTACGCTTCTAAAAATTAATAAAAAACACCTATGTTTCAAATAGGGAGATTTAATTATTTTATTTATTTATTCTTATGGAAAGAAACCAGATTGTTACCTGGTTCTTTTTCATCCATGTAATCATTCAGACTCATTCAGGAAAGATGGTGCTCAGGAGTAGGAGTGCTGAGGTTTTTTAGATTAACTTTACTTTTTTTTGAGCAAAAAGGCTTTGCAAAAAGGCTTTTTGAGTGGTGTCACTTTTACTCGGTAGACCCCACCAATTTAGCTTTCTTTCCTTTGAGGACAGTTGAGTTATGACATGTCAAAATGTATAGGAATGTGTGGTTATTTGGTAATACAATTGTCTTTTCACCTAAAAAGCAGTGTGCGTAGCTGTCATCAACAGGCAATTATAAGTAATGAAGCAGAAGGACCACAGCCTGTCAAGAGGGTTTGAGCAGGTGGACTTTGTGCTACTTGTGTCCTATAAAAATAAATTAATAGGCAAAAAGACTTAACCTCACAGTAATAAAACTTCTCTGTTCTGGAAGACAGGCTGTGTAGTACTAAATTGCTGCTTTAAGGGATAGGCCTGCATTTGTGTCTGCATCTCTGTTTTTGAAAGCTTGGAATTGGTTTTATGAAGCATTCTGGTATTGGGGCGGGGGAAACCCACCAAATTGCTTCTCCCCCCTCCAACCCACCCCTTTACTGTACCTGTGATGGTTTATAATGTAGAGGGCAAGGAAAGCTTTTGAAGACCGTTACCTTCACCTTCTGGTATTTGTATTTGAAAGTTGTTTCGTTCTGGCAAAATCAAAAATCAAATGGTCAGCAAACAAGTTTTTCAAAACAAGGAAGGTGTGGGTATCAATGCTTCTTCTTCTCCCAGGCTTCCCTGGGGTTTATCAGTCCTGCTGCCCACTGCTCCCCTCCTGTGCTGGCTGATGGGAGCAGACTCTTGTGCCATGGTGCACCAGCAGCTCCCGGCCTTGCCCAGTCTGCTCCTTGCCCCCCCAGGGAGAGGTGAGCTGAGGTCTTTGGCACTGAATGTACCCTCCTGTCACTAGAGGACATTAAATGATTCACATGGGCATCTCTGTGTGAGAACAAAAAACAGTGCCTTTATTCTCTGACTCCAGTAATTATAGGTTCTCGACAATGGCTAGGGATTGGATAATTAAGTTAGCACCTTCCCAAGTATACTGGTCATGAGAAACGCCCATCAAAGGACGTTTCTTAGAAGGAAGGTGATAAATTCATGTTTTTTACTTTCATGTGAAAGTAACTAAAACTATGAAAACATTATCAGAAATGTCCAATTTCCAGGGCGACACCCTCCTAGAGGTAAATTTATTATGCCTTTTTTGCAGGACTTTGTACTTAGATAAAAAAATTGATTTTGCAGTTTTCCATGTTGCTTCTGTTGCAGAGATCCTATAGCATAAGCTGAAAGCTGCAGCTTTCTGACAGTGCAGGATTTGTGAAATTAAATAAAACTCCTAGCCACTTTTTCCAGCTCTGTGGAAAGGTTTTTGTGAAGTGTTTGCAGTGAGGAAAAGTGCATTAGTTACCTGGTTGAGGTTGTTAAACCTGAAACTATTGCCATCATCTCATAGAATCAGCTAAGAATCCTGTTGCATTCAGGATCTATTTCTCTCTCTCTTCGCTCTCCTTGTTAGATCACCTCTGATTAAACCAAAGCATTGGAGCATTTACTGTATGTTATGAGAAATAGGAAGAGGGTGGAGAAATCCGCCTTGAATTAGAACAGAGGATCCAGAGGGAAGGACCATTATTGAAACCTCG